AGGAAAATAAGTATAAAAGGATGGATTTGTCCAGATAGTCTAAAAATAGAATGGTCTAATTCAGACTGAATGAGATTAAGTTTTTCATTTTTAGGTTTTTCATTCATCTTCTATTTGTTGCCTAGAAATAGCTATCAGTGCATCCTAAGTGTCAAAGGACTGGGGTAAGAAGAGCAAGATCCTTCACTAGTCTCCATGAACTTCAGGAAGAGTTTATATTTATTTGATTAGTTCTTCAGCCTGGCAAGAATCGTATGCAAACAATGTCTTAGAATTGTTTATTTCTTAGCTATTTTCTGATTTTAAAAATACATTTTTTTCTTGTTATAAGTTAAAAATGCCCATGACTTCTGTTTTCTTAAATTGCTAATATCTTAAATTAAGGCTTTTTAGGTTTACAGAAAAATTGAAGACTATAAAGAGCTCCTGTAGATTCCTTCCCCTATCTTATCCCAACTTCCCTTTTTATTAATACATTATGTTAATGTAGTACATTTGTCACAAAAGGAAAGCCAGGATTGACACATAAGTGATTATAGTGCACAATTTCCACTATTTTCATCTTTTGTCTTGTACATTCTATGGGTTTTCACAAATGCAGACATGTATCTATGATGATAGAACTGTAGGGATTAATTATACTACTATGAGTCCCTTGGGCTGGAGAGATGGTTCAGTGGTTAAGACCACTGGCTGATCTTGCAGAGGACCAGGGATTGATTCCCAGTGTGCACATGGCAGATAACAATCATCTGCAACACCAGTTCCAGGGGAATCCAACTCCCTCTTCTGACCTCCATGGGCATTGCACAACACGGATGCACCTACCTACATGCAGACAATACACTCATACACATAAAATAAAAATAATAAAATATTTTCAAAAGTAGAAAGTCCCGTGTGTTCCATCCGTTCCTCTCCTTCTCTGAGATCACAACCATTGATCTCTTACAGTCTCCATAGTGTCATCCTTTGTGGGCTGTCACATAGGCGGAATCATACAATAGGCTTTTCAAATTGGCTTCTTTCACCTATAATATTCATTTAAAGCTATGAAAAGTCTTTTATTTTTAATTTTTATTTTTGTGTGTGGATATACACGTGTGAGAGGTCAGAAGACAACTTTTTCAAGTTAGTTACCTCCTTTCACCTTTACATGAGTTCTGGAGATCGAATTCAAATTGTCAGGCTTGTGTGGTTAATGCCTTTACCTGATGAGTCATCACACTGGTCCTCTGCAAAGTCTTTTTGTAGCTTAGTAGCTCACATTTCCAGGGTACACTCCATCAAGGCAGGGAAGTCACAGAAATAAGAACTTGAGGCAGCTTGAGGTCAACATTGTATCCAGTCAGGAAGCAGAGGAAAACGAATGTTTGTGCTCAGCTCACAAGCATTCTTTCTCCTTTTTATACAGTCCAGACCTCAGCTCATAGAATGGTGCCACCCCCATTTAGGGTGAATCTTCCCACCACAATTAACCTAGCAAAGCTAATTCTTTACTGTTGGCCAGAGGCTAATTTATGATAATCCCTCACAGGCATGCCCAGAGGCTTGACTCCTAGGTGATTCTGGCTCCTATCAAGTTAATCAATATTAACTATTACAAACTAGAATCAGATAACTTCAGGCCCCTTCAGAGTTGATACTTTTGTGATTTTTATAACCAAACAAAGTGTACTTATATGTAATAATAATATATGTAATGACAATAATTATCAAACCAAGTTCTTTCTCTGTGGAGCTTACATTTTTAATTGGAAGAGCAACACACATTTTAGAAGTTATTAGGATGAAGTCAGTGTTATAGGAGTGATTGCGATTAATTGTTGAGTAAAAGATAGAATTGGATATTTTCCAAAACCCTGTGTGTTATGACTGAGGGTATAGCTCAGTGGCAATATACTTGCCCAGCATGTACAAGGCCACTGGGTTCTAGCTTTAACAACAACAAGAGCAACAAAATCCTATACAAAAAAAACCTCCGTGTCTTGTAAAGCACAAGTCGCTCTCAAAGAACCTAGGTATCATAAAAATGGAGGGAAATAAAGCATATTTTATATATTTATATTATACCTTGTTATATTGATCATTTGTTAAAAATATCAAGTACTGAGCATACAAAAGGAGACAGGTACAAATTTGGGCTCTTCACCTTTTGAGACACACACAGCAGGAGCTCTGCCTCCCTGTAGGCAAATGTGCTTACTTGTCCCCCATTATCCAAACACCCAGTGTTAGATGCTGCAGTAGGGCTGGTGCGGGCAAAGTGGCTCCTGCCAGTAAAGAATACTCAGGTCTGGTGGCAAATGGTGAGGAAACACCTAGAGGCCTGTATTGCAAGTGGCCTAGGGAAAAAGGAGAGGTTGCAGAACTCGAAGCTAGTTTATTTTATACATGTAACGTACATTTTCCTGGTCCAAAGAAGCAATTAAGCTTCATTGCTTTTAGCCAACTGAAAAACAGCCTCCCAAGGTGAAATACTTGACGAGGATCTGACACCCTAATGTCACAGAGACAGGGGTCATGTGTCTGAGTCTACTAAGAGAACAATTTATGTCACAGACTGGGTTCCTACCAGAATATTAAGGAATGTTGTTTGGGGGTGAAGCTCTTTACTTACTATCCTTCTGAATTTTCATAATCCACTGAGTACCAAAGTTTCTGAACATCATGTGTGGGAAAGGAGGAGATGGCTGGGGCTGGAGAGATGGCTCAGCAGTTAAGAGCACTGGCTGCTCTTGCAGAGGACCCAGGTTCAGTTCCCAGCACCCACATAGTGGCTAACAACTGTCTAGCTCCAGGGGATCTGATGCCTGCTTCTGGCCTCTGTGGGCATTGCACACTTAGATTCATATAAGCACCCCCCCCCGGCCACACACACATACACAAAATGAATCTTTAAAAAAAGGACATGACTGCAGGCTTCTGGACTATGTGTCACAGTTTGTCTCAAATGTGAAACAGCATAAGGTAATCCTCCTCCCATCCTCATACATCCTTACAACCACTCAGGATCACCTAAGACCTGTGGCCATATTAGACTGAAGAAGAGACCATCCTTCTGCTTGATCTCTGTAGATGGTGAATGCAACAAATACAGCATGACCTATTTGGGCATCTAAGAGCCCTTTGCTTCCCTTACCATGAAGGGGTAAGGAGCTGTATTGTCTAGACCATCAGTAAAATTCCCCTGAAGTTATAATGTACTCACTATTGAGGCTGGTGTTTGCTTCCCTTTTCCCTAACAAAATCAGTATTCTGCACAGTGTTATAATGTTCAGTGTAACTCGCAGATTGGCAATAAGGTAGGCCAGGCATGGTGGCACATGTCTTTCATCCCAGCACCCAGGAGGCAGAGGCAGGTGGACCTCTGTGAGTTTGAGGCCAGTCTGATCTACAGTTCTACATAGCAAGTTCTAGACTAGCAAGGGCTACATAGTGAGACCCTGTCTCGAAAGAAAGAAAGAGCTTCCACATTTTTAAAGTTCGTAATATATGTTAAGAAAAGGCGGGGAAGGAAAGAAGGAAGGAAGGAAGGAAGCTGCAAGCTGTTAAGTAAGTGTATTTTGGAATGGAGTTGTAATTTGTAAAATGGGTGCTTTAACATTTATCTATTCTCAACATCAAATGTTTATTTTAACAAAATAATTGCCAAAGTTGATTAAGTAAACCTAATCAGCAGATGATATGACAGCTAGGCTGGAGTTAAGGTACCAAAGATTGCAGTACAATGTCTTTTTTAATTTGTGAGATTTTATTCTACATCAGGCATTATGTGTACCAGGACTACTACAAGAACAAAGCAGCTTTTAGTAAAATTAGATAATCTGCTAGGAGACAAGGTTTTTATTGATGATTAAGGCATTAGTTCACATCCTTATACTTTTCAAGTGAACGGAGTCTAATTTAGTAATTTAATGGAATCTGCTTTGTGAAACTTCAGACTTACAATTATAATTTCCAGATAAGCTGACCATCAGTATACTAGAAAGACCACATTTGCCACATTCTCAGATGGACAGAACTTGTGATATCTTCAGCTGGATATTGTGTGTGTGGTTTGTCAGTGGAGATGGAAAGCGAGGGGAGGCCCCAAGTTCTGCAGTGTTCATCCCTCAGCAGTCCAGCTGTGTTCAGGTGTAACTCTACAGTGGGTAGAGTGACACACTGAGTGACACACTGAGCCTACCTGCTTGCCAAGGCCACTTCTGTCATGTGGTTTTCCTTCTTAGGCACCTATTAGGAACATTCATACTCATTATATTGTTTTATTAAAAAGCACTTATCAATCTGAAAGTTATATATGTGTCAAACACACACACACACTGATGTGGGAAGACATAGCTCTGCTGTGGGTGGGACATTCCCTGGGTAGGGGATCTTGCACTGTATAAAATAGAGAAAGTCAGCTGAGCACGAACCAATATTCACTGTTAGGTCTTTTTGAGACAGGGTCTCCTTGTAGCCCCAGCTGGCCTGGAAATTGCTATGTAGACCAGACTGGCCTTGAACTCACAGAGATCTGCCTGCCTCTGCCTCCCAAGTACTCAGGAAATTTTTATATTTTTTAATACCATTGAACACAGTTTTAAAATATTGAATGTCTCTTTCCTCATCAGTAAAATGTGTGTAGTAGATCAACTCATTTCTAAAGAGTTCTTGATGTCTCAAGTCTATAGCTTTATAAAGTTAGTTTAGTCCTAAGCAAAATATCTAAATTACTTTTCCCAGAGGTAGCCAAAAATATTTAATGACATGATAAAGATGTTCACACTTTATTGTTAAAATTAAAATGAAAAAGTAGTATGTTTGTGTAGATATAGATATAAATATGAACACATTAATTATAGATTATTGATTTATACCTACATAGTAAGATTTCAAGAGATTTTTATTTTCCTTTTGCTATCCTATAATTTCTTTACCAATTCAATTAATTTTATAACAAAATAATATACACATCTGAAAAAAGTCTTTGTTTATACATTGTTTTAATTCAGCACTCTATGAAAACCAACACTTTGAAGGAAGACACAACAACGGACTTGAAACAGCTTCTCCAAAAGTTGCGAAGTGTGATCAACGAGGAGCCTGACATGCCTCTGAGCAAGACCAACGAGAATGGGAGGACACAGTCCCCCACAGTCTTGTAGGTGTCTAAGACTACACTCGCTCAGAATGGCAAAGCTCCTCTTAGGAGTGAGTTGCCGTTGAGTTGTCCCTGTGTTACTCTCTGAGGGGGTGAAGATCTAAATAACTCTGAAGAGAAAGTAAAGTTACCAGGAAAAGCAACATGAAAACGGAGGGATTAAGCAAATGTAAAGAAACTGAACACCCAGAGAAAATGAAGCAGTCACTCTGTTCTGAAAGTAATCAGAGACTGGGAGTATGGCTCCATGGTAGAGCTCGTGCATAGCAGGTGCAAGGCCCTAGGTTCAGTCCCCAGCACTGGATGAAAAACAGTGCAAAGTGTTACTCATAGTTAATTACAAACAGCTTCCCCATACGTAGCCATATTTGAATACCACAACACCCTTTGAGACAATGCAGAACAAGGCTTATTCTAACAATGAAAAACTCAAGTCTCAAAGGGCTAATTTGCCTCCAGCACAGTCTACTGTAGAGCTAAAACTACATAGCATTGAGAACTATTGAACACTCAAGGAATAAACTAATAGGAAAAGCATGGATTCCCTGGCGATTCCTGACAATGACATATCAAATTAATAGAGTCTGATCTGTAAAAAATTCGGTCAGCTCACCAGCCCTCCCTATACATATTTGCAAGAATCAATGAGATTCTCATATTCTTCCCAAACACTCTTAAGCTTTGTCTGAACTGTTATAGAGATTAACTTATCTTAAAGCATTTTAATATGGTATCTATATACTAGTAAAATATACTAGTACTGATATCATTTCTGTAATATTAATTTGTATCTAGATGGAAAATATCTAAAAGTAATACTTTCTGAAATAATATCTCTATATAAAACCAATCTCTAGTTCCTTAAGATGTTCTGATAACATGTATTAACCCAACTGCCAATGGATTAGCTGGAAGTATCTAATTGTTAATATTATCAGTAATGGCTCAGTTACCTAACCATGACACTATATTATCTAAATCACATAATGTCAGAAATATTCTATATCCTATCCCATCAAGGAATACTTACAATTTTTTTTGAGACAAGGTCTCACTATGTAGTCCTGGATGGCCTAGAACTCACTTTGTAGATCAGGCTAGCCTGAAACTCACAGAGATCCATCTGCCTCTGCCTCCTGTGTGCTTGGATTAAAGGCCTGTTCCATCATGCCGGGTGGCATTTGGCATTTTTTTTCTTTTCTTTTTGTTCTCTCTCTCTCTCTCTCTCTCTCTCTCTCTCTCTCTCTCTCTCCCCCCCCACATAGGAAAAAAAATGATCCCTCCCTCCCTCCCTCTCTCGACTGGGTCTGAATTCCTGCCTCAGCATCCTGAATGCTGAGGTTACAGGCTGCACTGCTACACCCAGCTGAACACTTTAATTTTTGTTGTAACTCTAATAGGACTTCTAAACCAGGGTTTATTAGTTAGCTCATTTGACAGGTGAATAAATTTCACCATACATTGGCTTGCCTCCTGGGGACAAATCCAAACTGCTAGTTATTCCCAAGGATTACAGTAGCTTCCGCCATCAGGTTCACGCCAGCCACCAGTGAACTTGAACTGTATTGAGACTATCAAGCATGAATAGATTTGAGAATTTGAGTTAATTTTCTGTAATCTTACAAATGACCATGTCATTAAAGTCTAACCTCTACTTATTAAGAAGTTATGGAAGAAAACTGGTGTGTGATGCACACTGTAATTTTAGCACTAGTCAGGAAGAGGCAGAAAAATCACTGAGGGTTTGAGACTAGAGAGCATGGTCTACATAGTGAGTCCCAGGCCAGCCAGGACTATATAACAAGACCCTGCCTAAAACAACAACAGCAACAATGGCAAAAAGCCCCTAAAAACCCACAACAAATTCATCAAAGAAAGTATTTCTTAGTTGATCAACTCCAGAGGTAACCAGCCCTTCTTAAATTTGCTTGGAGATCTAAAACTACATTTGTGGCTTATATAAATGAGCAACTGATTATTTTTTAATGCTTTACTTTTATTTAACGTGTATGAGTGTATTGCAAGTATGCCCATGTTGCGCAGTGCTCATAGAGGTCAGAAGAGGGATCAGATCCCCTGGAATGGGAGTTATAGACAATTGTTAGCTACCCATGTGAGTGCTGGGAACCAAACCCAGGTCCACTGCAAGAGCAGCCAGTGCTTTTAAATGCTGAGCCATCTCTCCAGGCCAGCAATTGGTTATTTTTAAAAGACCAAGAACCCAGAAATTTCCCTGTGCATCATTAACTCAGTTATATTTGCCTACACAGAGATGATAGAGTAAGAGACTGCATTATTGAATCAAGCCTGAGAGCAGACCTCTGCCACAGGTAAGACTGTGGAACTTGGAATCATTCAATTATCCAGAATTTTGTATGTGGCCTTTTGAGATAATTTTCTTGGAACTTGATGGGCATATTGGCTTCAGGGAAGGAAAGCCATTATATTGTTTAACTTACTCTAAAAAGAGTTTCAAGGTACTAAAGGAATTCACTTTCTAGAAATCAACTGAAAGCTTTTTCTTATTTTAAAATTTATTGATTGTGTTTACTATCATTATAGTAAAGTACCTGAGATAATTTACAAGAGGAAAGGTCTATTTGCCTCATAGCTGTGGAGGTTCCAATCCAAGATAGGACATACCCTTAGCTTTGGGACTGCATTGAAGCTCTCAGGTGGCAGATGGCAAAGAGTGCATGCAGCAAACTGCTCACCACTGAGCCAGATGCAAAAGAAAGGACCACAGTTTCCTTTGTGGTCTTACCCCAATGACATAAGGACCTCCCACAATGTCCCACCTCCTAGAGATTCCACCCCCCTCCAATAGATCCGTGCTGAGGACCAGGCCTTTAACACTTGGGCCTCTGGGGACATTCAACATCCAGTTCAAAGCACTGATGTGTCACCATATGAAGCTATTCATATAATATCCCACACCAAAGACTTTTTTACATTTACATGTATTTCCAATGGTCTATACAACTTTGAAGAGTGGTCCAAAAGGAAGTTATAACAACCTCAATATATGGTTATAAGACTTACTAAAAACTATCCTATATTCATCAATAATGGAATAGCTGATTTTTAAATGAAATTATTTTAAAAAAGTCATAAAGAAAATGTATAACCCTTGGGCTGGAGAGATGGCTCAGTGGTTAAGAACACTGGCTGTTCTTGGAGAAAACCTGGGTTTGAATCCCAGCACCCACATGGCAGCTAACAGCTGTCAGTAACTCCAGTTCCAGGGGATCCGACAGCCTCTTCTGTCCTCTGTAGGCACTGCACGACATGGGTGCACTTACCTACATGCAGGCAATATATGCGTACACATAAAATAATAATAATAATAATAAAAAGAAAATGTATAACCTTATATAAGAACCCCAAAAGAACAAGTTCTGAAAAGAAATATTAGCAAAAAAAGAAAACATATCTAATGTTAATTCCTTATTCAGAGAAGACACGGAGGTCATTGCTTTAAAAAATGTCCTGTGTCTCCTTACTGCACAGCGCTAAATACTGGCTCTTAGTCTAGCATGGCAGACACACTGACTTCTAGAAACCAACCTTTACTCCTCATCCTATGCTCTAACCTAAGCAGAGCTTTTTTTTTTTCCCTCAAGGCAGGTTCAAGCTGGCCCCAAACTCACTGTGTAGCCAATGATAATCTTGAACTCCTGGTCCTCTGGCTTCCACCCCTCAATTGCTGGAATTATAGGCTTGGGACACTACTCCCAGTTTATGTGGTACTGGAGATCAAACCCATGGCTTCGTGCATCCTAGGCAAGCGCTCTACCAAATAAGCCACTTCCCTGGCCCCTAACTAGATTATTCCTGATCCTGATTCCAAAAGTTCATTTCTCTTCTAAGAATCATCTTTTTCTATATTTATTTATTTGGACATGTGTACACATGTATGTGTGTCTATATCTGTGTAGGTCAAAAGACAATCTATGGGAGTCCATTCTTTACTTCCACCATGAGAGTGCCAGGAATCAAATTGAGGTTGCCAAGCCCGTCTGCAAGTGCCTTTACCTTCAGAGCCGTCTCGCTGGCTCTCTTTTCTTTTTGCTTCATCTTTTCTTCATACTGTTTCCTCCATGAAGAAGAGCCAGAGCTTCAGCCTCACTCTTTTGAGTCTGTATTCATCTAAAATTAATGTTCATATGGGCAATTTGTTTTGTCATAGCATTAATACTTTGTGATTTATCTAACTTTTTCTAGCTATCTGTGTAAGAAAAAAATGGGCTGGGGTGTAGCTCCTGGTAGACTATGTATCTAGCTTGGCATGAAGCCTTGGGTTCAATTCCCAGCACCCTCCTCCCACAGAGAATAAACTTTATCTCACAGATGTTTATATTAGTGATCAAATAGCACTCTGAGCGTCTCTAACTTCTCCCACCCTTCTACCAACAGAAGCAGCAGCTCATTAAGGGAGTCCACTGAAGGTAGCAAGTCAGGTGAAATGCTTAGCAGGCAAGAAATTGTTTTATCATCCCTAATCGACAAAGTGTCACTTTTACTACTGTTCACTAATTCAAAAGACCATTATCTCCCTGTACTGTGCCACGAGCTGGACCATGCCCTTCAAACACAACACTGAGAAGGACAGATTTGGGTCCTGGCCAACAAGTTGCTTAAAATTATAAGATCTGTTTATTGGATGACTGGAAAAAACCTCATTTTTATCTTTTCTGTTTTTACTACCCATAAAAATAGAGTTATCTAATTACTCATATCGTAAGAGCAATAAAGTTATTTCATACTCTGAACTGCTTAAATTTTGGTTAAGAATGGGCTTTCTCACCCTTGGCACTTCCACATAATGCCCACTATCAAGTAGCCATTCAGTAAATGCTTTTTAGTGAATGAATCAAGTGTCACAAATACTTTCTCTCTCTGCTATTCTGTCACAGAATCTTTCTAAATATATCTTTCTTTTAACATAAAGAAAATATGTTGATTTCCTTTTCTCTTATCGCTATAACACTACACTGTTCCTATAAATAATAGCTGTAATTTTATTCTATTTTCTGATTGTTTTAGACATACTTTAGTCTTTCTAATCTGTGTGGTAGGCATTATTTTCCATATATAGATCAGAAATGAAGAATGAGGTTGGTTAAGCAACTTGCTAAGGTATACAGCTTATAAACGCTAAAGGCCAAATTTGAATTTAAGCCAGTGGCTTCAAAGCACATGTTTGCGGCTGCTACTGTATATTGTCCCTGCACTGAGCTACTTGGGAAGATGCTGATCATAGGTACAGGGCAGAGTGGAATTGCTTCCTTGTGGTAACAAAAGCTCTGCTGTAGAGTTTCTTTGTGACTAGAAAAATCTACTTCTTTCTGCAATGAAGTCATAATACTGTATTTTATTTATTTATTATGAAAATATTGTTTATTATGAAAATATTGTTTCACAATAACAGCAGTAAAAACTCAGCATTAAAAGTGCAAGTGAACAAAACTATAAGATGCAATTAACTCAATAAGGAAATAAATGCTATTAAGTCTCTTTTGATTAGGTATAAGACTATCACAGTTCTCAATTCCCCCTTTCAAGATGAGGTTAAAACTATTTTCATTGTAAAACAAAGATGCTCTTTGCTTTTATTCACTGCCCATAGTATTTTATTCATAGGAGTCATTATGCATATTACAAACTGAAGACATGACATAATAATAAATGCAATATTGATGGTTATTCTGTCAACCTCATGAGAATTTTTGAACTACTGGAGAAGAAAAGTTACAATGAATGTATCTACTAACAGTGTGACTCAGCAATGAAAAATGATCTGAGGGTTCGAAAGGTGGCTCAGTGGGTCAAGGTGCCTGCAGCCAAACCTGGTGGCCCGTGTTCAATTTCCTGGGACCCAAATGGTCAAGGGTGAAGAGAGAGAACTGACTCCCACAGACTGTCCCCTGACTTCTGCACATGAGTGTGCATACACACACACACACACACACACACACACACAAACACACACAAATAAAAATTTTAAAAAGTAAAAAGAAGATACAAAATGTCATATGCTTTTAAATTTTTCAATCTCTTCCAAGCATACAATGGAGTTCCCCAAATGCTGCACTGATAGTTGATTATCACAGTACTTTTTTTCATGATAAAATACAGTATTATGACAACCTCATTGTTTGTTTGGCATAGAGTCTTGCTATGTAGTCCAGGCTGGCCTGGAACTCAGATCCTCCTGCCTCAGCTTCCCAAGGTCTGGGGTTGTAACTACATTCAGCTTGTTTCTTCATTTTCTTAAAATTTCTTGGCTTTATTTTTATTTTATGTGTATATGTGTATTGTGTGCATGTATACAATACACCCATGTCATGCAATGCCCTCGAAGGACAAAAGAGGGTGGTGGATCTCCACTGGAGTTATGGACAGTTGTTAGCCACCATGTGGGTACTGGGATTCAAACCCAGGACCTCTGCAAGAGCAGCCAGTTCTCTTAACTGCTGCGCCATCTCTCCAGTCTGTTTCTTCATTTATATTTTTATTTTTTATTTATATTTTTATTTTGCCTGCATGTATGTAAGTGCATCTGTTTTATGCAATGCCCATGAAGGCCAGAAGAGGGCATCAGATCCCCTGGCCCTGGACTTCCTAGATGGTTGTTAGCCATCATGTGGGTGATGGGAAGCAAATCCAAGTCCTCTGGAAGAGCAGCCAGTATTCTTAACCACTGAGTCACCTCTCCAGCCCCAGTTTCTTCATTTTTAAATGAATGTTGAGATGGCATTTCATAGTTCATAAGAAAAGTGATTTGGATTTATAGCTGTTATTACACAAAAATGAATTGTCTAGCCAAGATTATTTTATTGTATTTTGTCTTATACAGTTTTCACAAGTGGACTGGGTATGTAGCTCAGTTGATAGAGTACTTACCTTGCATGCAGGAAACCTTGGGTTCCCCAGTACTACATAAACCAGTTGTATTGGAGTACACCTGTTATCCCAGTAGCAAGAGATGGAGGCAGGAAGATCAGAAGTTCAAAGTTATCCTCAGCTACACAAGGAGTCAGAGGACAGCATGGACTACATAAGACCCTGCCTTTAAAAAAAAAAAATCCGTGGGTACTGAATGCAAAAAGATAATGCAGTACCAGTAAGAGCTCAGTGAGTAAAGGCACCTGCCACCAAGCTGACGATCTGAGGATCTCTAGGACCCACTTGGTGGAAGGAGAGAACTAACTTTGCAGGCAGTTCTCTGACCTCCACATGAGTTAGTATACATGGCATGCATGTATATCCGCTCACATGCACACAAAATAAAATTTTTTTAAAGTTTAAAGATAATACAACTTTGTATTCCCTCTATAGGCATTTATGAACTTCTGCAATTTAGGGTTATAACTGCCATCTGAGTTTATATTTCAAGCTATCACATTTGCCTGTATTGGCTTGCTTTGGTCCGTGTGTCTTGGTGCTGTGCTTGTGAAATTAAGTGTTTACATTGCCACATGTATTAGTTTCACTAAGTCTCACACTTGACAGAGACAACATAAGTGAGGAAAGATTTATTTTGGCCTGCAGTTTTGGAGGATTCAGTCTGTGGTAGGTTGGCCCATGCACTTGGACAAAACATCACGAAGGAGCATGTGTGGCAGAGGAAAGCTGTTCATTTCACAGAAGAAAGGAAGAAAGCAGAAATTGGGGGAGAGGGGCTACTGGATGGGGTCAGGGCAAGATACCTCGCTCAAGGACATGCCCCCTAGTGACCTACTTCCTCCAACTAAACCTCTCCCTATAATGCCATCACACATGAATCCATCAAGGAAGTAAACCATTAAGTCAGAGCCTGCATGGTCTGATAATCTCTGGAAACACAGTCACGGGGAGTTGGAGGCCCTTTGCTAATCTCCTAGGACTTTCTCAGAGTATTCCATTCAAGTTGACAGTGAAGATTAACCAACACACCTACTTATGCTTTCAGAGAACCAGTCACATTGCATCCAGGAGACCTGGAAGATCCATGTAGTTGCTTCACCTTCCCATCTGCAGGTGAGTTTTCAGTGAAAACATAGGAGGGAGACCTGCTGAAAGCCTACAGAGGCCCCTCAGTTCCACGTGAATACAAGCCTAAGTCATGATGCTCCTGTTTAAGTCCCTGTTAACTCTTTGGGCTCATTTCCCATGACTCCCTTGTCAGTCACTCTACTTTTCCCAGCTTCAGCTGTTCTTGAACTTAGCAGGCAGCCTCGCTGCCCGGACACGGCCAGCCACTTCACCTTCCGAGATTTATTCAAATGTCACTTTCCCAGTAATGCTAACCTCTCACCACCCTATTTAAAAATCACAACCTTCCCACACTTGGATATTTTCCAGAACATTTCTCCTTTCCTCTCAACCCTATCATTGGGAGCGTTTTCTTGTGAAATGTTTGACTTCTTGATAACTGTGGTATACTATTTTTTAAATTCTTTTATTCTTGTAAAATTTTAGTAAGTCCATCTATGAAAAATTCATCTTCTCGGTCATTCAATTCTCCTAAGTCCCCAGTGCACTCACTCCTGACTAGTTCTACTGAAGAATCAGTAGGCTCCACATCACAGGACAGATCTACCGAACCTACTCATTCACCTGACGCTGCAAAAGGTAAGGATGATCTGATATTGCTGGCTGCTTTCTTACTCTAGTGAACTGCAAGTTCTTTTCCATACACAACTAAGGAGACTGTGCACGATGCTCTCATATGCAAGCTGTAACTGGTTTTATTTAAATAAAACAGCTACTGTGTATACACATTGAAGCCTTAGCCTTAGTATAATAAAAACTTAGTATTATATACGAGTGTCTCTTTCTCTGGCATACTGACCATTCTTTTTTATTATAAATATTTTGTCTTCTTTTAAGTGCTATGACTTTTCTCTCTTGCTTATTCTCTAAAACATAACTCCACTTAATTCTCTGCCTGTTATCGAGTAAATGACTATTATACAAGCTTGTCAAGTCTCATTAAAATTTCAAGTTCTGTTTTTATTTTATAAGAGATGGAAAAAACATTTAATTTAGGATGAGTATCTTGAAAAATGTCCTATATAAGTATGTTAAATTGAATTGTGTGGAATCATTTCCGTTTGTAACCATTTCATTTAATATTTTGTAAAATTTAAAGAACCAAAGCACCAAGGTTGGTTGTGCTTGCTGGTAGTCTCATTCAGGAGGCAGAGAAAGGAAGATCCTTGAAAGTTCTACATAGTAAGTTCCAGGCCAGCTATGGCTACATGGTGATATCCTATCTCAAAACAAACAACTTTTTTAAAAGAATCAAATGATGTATCTGTTAAAGTAATAATTATTTGAGGACTAGAGCAGTGTTGCTTTTTACATTGTTACAAAGTATAACATTTTCTTTTTCCCTCTATTTTTGGACCCCCATCAAGCTTATACATATATATTTTTATATTATTTTTACTAAAATATTCCTAATATGTTGTTTCTCATGTCTGAAATTTTTTTAAAAATGTAGACAATTGTTTTAATACTATAATTACAAGGAAAAGGTGTTTAGGGATAGGAATGTGAGTCAAGAGCTCAGTATTTTAGGAATTGATAGAACTTCGAATGTTTACTAGAGAATAGCTTTCATGCCCTGGGCCCGCTTCAGTTGCTGCTAACACTTTGTTGCAGGCTCACTGCTCCATGCCAACATCTGTACAACCCTTTCTCCCCACATGTGCCATCCTCACTCAAGTGATAATGTCCTCACACACATGGAAAAGTGATGCCAGTATCTGAATTAGATCCTGCTCTCCCAAACCCCAAGTTAGGAACTACTCAGGCTTGGTGTGAAATGCTGACCCGTATACAATGAGTCACTAACGTGAAGTATTCTCCTCACTATCCAGTTTAAACAATAGTGAATCCAATCAGTTTGAAACCAAGTCTAATAAACTTGAGCTGCTATATTTTTTTAAATTCTTTTGTAAACACCACACATGAGTATAGTCTTCACACCATTTCCATCCCTCTCAGTCCTTCTCCAACTCCCCCTACATCCCCCAAACTCCTTCTCAACTTCCTATCCCCTTATTATTACATACACATGCACACATTTAGAGATATACATAAATATGTATAATACTCTCAGTCCTTTCAGTGGTATTCCCTTGTATTTGTGTTTAGGGCTGCCCACTTGTAGTTAGGTAACCTCTCAGGGAGCTAGTCCCTAGAAAACACTGATTTTCCTTCCCTTGGCATCCATTGATTGCCTTCAGCTCTTCTTGAGGTAGGGCCCCTGGAGATTTTCCCATCCACTTTGGTATGTCAACTGGTTTTGTTATTCTATGTAGATCTTGTTAGACTGCCATATTGTGGAGATTTCATTGATAGAGCTTCCCTATCATGTCTAGAATGCCTTAAGTAGCAGCAGGTAGGTGTCTTACCCCTCTGGGTCTTATATTCTTTCCACCCCTTCTTCTGTGATGCTCCCCAAACCTTAGTTGTGGAAGTTGTATTGTAGATGTGTCACTTAGGGCTAGACACCTCACAGACACTTATTCTCTGTGTTTGACAACTTGTGGAATTTTGTAATAGTCTCCATCTATTGCAAAAAGAAGCTTTGATGAGTGTTGAGAGGTATACTTGTCTGTAAATATAAGGATATGTATTTAGAATATAGTAAGAAATTACACTGGTCTAGGGATGTGACAAAAGCAGGTTTTTCAGCCAGACGTGGTGGCTCACACCTTTTTTTAAAATTTGTTTTTATTAAAGTTTGTTGTATTTCATACAGAATATGTCAAACAATCTGAATCATCTTTTTAGCCCCATCCCCACCAGTACCCTCCCATAGCCCCCCAACTGGAACCCATAGTGTTAAGGCCCACTGTGTCAAGTCAGTCTCCCCAGACATTCCCCAGTGATCATTTTAATTTTATTTTTTTTCACAGAGCATAGGGTGGGGGTTTATTTACAGAGGAGTGGGCGCCCCCCATTTATGGCTGCACTGGAAAGTCCACACTCAAATATAGATCCTGTGACCTCCCAACAGCTGCAGAAAATGGTGAGAAAGGTGCCTCCTGGCATTCTCTCGGCTTATATATCCTTAGCCCCTCCCCCACATGCAGCTAAGGTGGACTGATTGGGTGGTAGGGGTAACTGACTCCCCCCTCCACTCCTTGATGAGCGTGGGAAAGGGGTATGACTATAGCTTGGGTAGTTCATACCTTTAAACTCAGCACTTGGGAGGCAGAGGCAGGTAGATCTCTGTCAGACCAATGTCAGTCTGGTCTATATAGCAAGTTCCAGGCCAGCTGTGGCTATAGGGAGACCCTATCACAAAAAAAAGAGGATCCATAACATTGCTATATTTAAATAAGAAACCTTTTCTTTATTTTAAAATAGTATTTGGAAGTTTTCTTAATTTGCAGGAGTTGTTAACCTTTAATTGGAAGATTTCTAAAAAATAAATATTGAATAGGCTTTTAGTATCACATCTAAGCAATTTTCTAATAGATTCACAGTCTCCGTCACTAGAAACAACAGGAAAAACATGCCAAAAACTTCAGAACAGACTGGAAAGCTTGCAAACCCTGGTAGAAGATTTACAGCTGAAGAACCAAGGTATGGTACGTAAAGGTCTCCAGGGGTTGAGGATTTAACTCAGCGATAGAGCATCTGCCTAGCTAGTGCAAAGCCCTGGGTTTAGACCTGAGTACCAGAAAAAGAAACTCACAAAAGACAAAACAACATAGAACTAAAATGCCCTCAGGTTAAGCTTCCTGTATGACCCACTGAAAGGATAATAAATTAGTAATTTAGAAATCAAAATATGAGCGTCTTGCTGGGCATGGTGGCTCATACCTATATTTCTAGCACTTGGGAGGTAGAGGCAGGAGGAGCCACAAGTTCAAGGCAAGCCTGGGATACATAACAAATTCCAGGCCACTCAGGGCTGTCATGCAAGAACTTGCCTCAAATAATACAAATCAACCGAAACATGAGTGTCTTGAGCATAATTAATCCCTAGATTTCATTGTCTGACCCTGAGCAGTAGGGCCTGCTCTACTCTTTCTGAGTGGGCATGGTAATCTAGCTCTCAACCATCAATAGGCTATTTCCATAATCAAGTGTGTGTATGATATTTGCCAGGATAAAATTACAGTCCTAGCCAGAAAAAATAATAATAAGGTATTTAGTTTACACAGGATTTAAATTTAGCATAATGTTATAAAAGATTATGCCATCCAATAAATGAATCACAAATAAATAAGACAAGATACTTCCAAAAACACTAAAGTCATTTGAATTGGACACTGTTACAATCTGCAAATGATGGTCGGTTTTGAGAACCTAAATTCTAAGTATTGTGACTATAAATGCTATCATGACAGAATTATAGCATCATGAATCCTCTGTCTTTGTTAGAGAGAAACTGATTTTGGAGGGTACTTGCTGTTCTTAGTCCATCTCTCCATCCCTAAAGAATGGAAGTTATGAGATGAAAGAAAATAACTATTTTTCAAGTGGGGCATTGTGGCACACACCTGTAATCCCAGCACTTGGGAGGCAGGGATAGGAGGACTGCAGCAAGTTTAAGGCCACTTTGGCTGACACAGTGAGTTCTAGGAGCTCCAGACCAGCCAGAGCTATATAACAAGATCCTGTTATGCACAGTGCACCACATATGTGCATACAAAGAAAATAAATGTTTTTCTAAGAACAGATATTTATAAAATAACCATATTCATAATAATAGATGCTGCCAGCATTTACTAACCACCTTCCAACTGCATGCCAGCCCTGCACTCAGCGTTTCTCTGATGTTCTCTTCATTTGGTCCTCACAACATGGGAAGATGGGTGCTATTATTATTGTCATAGGAAAATGAGAAAACATGATAAGAACATAGTCAACAAATTCTCCATCACACAAGGAGCAGTAGAGCTGGGACTTGATCCCTGTAATTTCTGACTCTAAAGCCCACATCTTTTAATATACCAAGATTACATCACATTGTTCTTAAAGAAAATCCCAAGTGCCTCGTGATAACCTCAGATCCCTCTAAATAGTAAGAAAACATGTTGGGATTTAGTTTGTTGTGATTTTTGAAAAGAAATGTACATTATTTTACTGGCTCTACTTACATTTCTAAGTTCATCTGACTTACGCCATCTAGTTGGAAGACGTTACATTTTCTTAAAAGTAACAATACCTTTGCATTGGATGCAGTGTCTGAATATGGAGATTCTTGAAGGTTGTGAACAAATATTTTTGGAGAAGATTTTGGGAACATTTATCACAATTTCAAGTGCAGGGCTATAAATAACAGCTGTGGTATAAGATCATGGGTTCAGTCCCTAGTACCACCAAAAAAAAAAATCACTACACATATTTCTACTTGCATGCACACATGAATACATGTAGAATGTATTACCAAACTCTTACAGTAATCACCATTGACCCAGCAGATGGAAGGACAGGAGGCTTTCATCTCCATGACCCTCTTGAGGTGTTTGAATTATACTCATTTTATCTCAGTTTGTTCATTTGAAATAACCAAAAGGATAACCACTCTGTTCCATCACACCAACCTTTACTAAAGTTTGTTGCACTGAAATTTTTAAGAACTTTTTGAGGTCAGGCTGAATCTATTCTACAGTGCTAACAAGCTGATCTTTGAGAAGTATGTAATAGAATTTAAAAACTTAGTAGACTTTGCAATCTAACTTTCTTTTGTCAATATTTTCAGCAATGTCTTCAATGATCAGAAACCAAGAAAAGAGGATTCAGAAAGTGAAAGATCAGGAAAAAATGTTATTAAAATGATACGTTGCTTGCCCATTCTCTACAGAGGGATGGTGCCCGATTTACTGTCCTTTTACTTATAATTAGTGCCCTGTGGACTTTTTTCTTTTTATGTGAAAATTAATAAAAGATACCCTGTCCTTTAAACTCTTTTTTTTGCAATAAAGTTCTTGAATGCTCAAACTTCAAACACAACCAACTAGATTTGAAAGTATTCACACATTATAATGTACTAATTTATGATAATTTTAGCATGTTGGAATATTGTGTTTTTAATTATTTTTACTGGTTCTGAAATACTAGAGTCACCTTTTTCAGCCTAAAAACATCCTGAGGAATAAAAGAAATGCCTTCACAGTGTAAAGTGGTGTGGCGCCAAGAGCAGAAAGACAAACCCCAGCTGCAGGCGTCCTTTGGTGACCCGAACTCACTGTTTGTTCTGTCAACATCAGTAAGAGTAATCAACAAAACTTTGGTGCCCTGGATCAAAACTTTTAGAAATTTCTTTTCTTGCATAGAACTAAAGAAAGAAAATATTGTTACTTTTTAACAAGTAAGTAGGTACCTGCTGTATTAAATTCAGTATGCCTTAATTAGATTTTAATAAACTTGGGGGATATTTGTATGTAAAATAAATATAATGAGACAAAGACACAAAAACGATTCACTTATGTCAAAACATCAGGGACAATGTGGCAGAGGCTAACTGTCCAAACACTATGTCCTCTCACTCCCAAGCAGAGTTGTCACCAAGATGCAGCAGCCTAGCAGGTTTCTCAGTCCCATGCCCCTCGCTTCCAGAGGCAGTCACCTGAGCAGGTCTAGTGGGATGTGAACAGAGCACTTCCTGCAGGTCCAAAGTGTTTGTGGTTTTCCTCAAGTTATTTCCCTCCCATGGGCTGGATACAGATAGGGACGGTCCTCAGGGTGGTGGTACCACAGAGCAGAAGGGAGCCTAAGGGACTCTACGAGGAGGAGAGCTGCTGCCAGGAAGACCCATTGCTGACTGATGCAAGGGCAAGCAGTCTGTCTGGGGCTGCCTTCTTGCATGGATGACCCCATTAGAGCACTAGCAGGAGCCCTGACCCAGCTATAGTCAGTGGAGTGGGAGGGTGTACTTGCTAAGCGGCACCTTGGTGCTGCGCTCAGTGACAGCAATCTAAGCATATCCAATTCAAATGGTGATTAAAATTATAAATATATATGCACCTATACATTTATAGCTTAATCTTTTTCTTTAGTTGGTTAATTTGTTTCATCAGGTAACTAATAAGTGGCTAGCAGTAGCATTCTAGGGATATTTTTATTTAAACTGTTTTACTCCATAGGGAGGCTTGGGCATTCTGTGAAGTAATGGTCAATGCCTTCTGCAGACCTCATTATGACGTATATAGGCAGAATATATGAATTTAACCAAGAAGTGCTGTAAACCCAAAGATGCTGAACAGTTCTGCTAAGCACTTTGCACTACAGCTTTCACTTGGATTCATGTTCTTGTCAGCCAAGGTCATCTTAGCCAGAATTGATTAGGTTTTATCAGTGGATAATATACTTACTAAAGGCTATTTTAACATATAAGAATTCATTTTGTCCCAGTCTTGGGAGATTGAGGCAGGAGAATCAAGAATTCTAGGTCATCTTTAGCTATATAGTAATTCAAGGTCAGCTACTCTGTTTCAAAACAATGACCACCACCACCAACGGTTGAGATGTGGCTCAGTTAGTAGAGTGACTGCCTAGCACTGCATGAAACTGGGTATAGTGGCACATGCCTGTAATCCCAGTACGTGAGATGGGAGGTAGGATGATCAGAAATTTAAGGGTATCCTTGGATATATAGTGAGTTTGAGGTGCACCTGGGCTGTAAGAGACCCTATCTGAAAAACTGATTTTAAAACGCAAACATACTAGATTCTCTTCCAAGGAAAGGTAACGTTTTAAAAGAAATATTCAAAATTTTCTCCAAAGGGAAGAGAAAAACTCTTCTTATGTTGTCTTCTGTAACTTTTGATATTTGCTTTCCTATATAGGAAATACTATACAAAGTATTTTTATATCTAGGTTATGGTATCAAGATTGAGACAATTCAGACATTTAATGAAGATATTAAAACTCAGGTTTTATTATTCAGTTATGACTTTTAAGTGTTTATCTCAGAGCAAAGATACACTTCTGCATCACAGGCCTACATAGATTTGTCACCCACAAATAGCTACTGGTAGGAAAAGAGAGGGGAGAGGATTTTCAGATGGAAAAGGCTGTTATGGGACAGTCCCTCTGTTAATATCTGGTGGGAGTGGGGTGGGACAGTGAGCAGAGAGGGTCCTATGTCCTCTAAGGGCTCTGTGGGTAAAGGATGGGTGCATCCCTTAGCAGAGCTAGACTGGACTTGGAATTCCTAGCCCTCAGAGCAGTATCCCTTAGACTACCTCACCAGCCCACACCCCAGCCCCACTCAGACTCCCTTTCCTTAGGGGCTGCTGGCTTGATGACCAACTCCAATTAAGCCCATTGTTTCCACACCAGCCTTAAGCCATTAAGACCGAGAGCCTTGCTAACTAATATCCTATCTATACTCAGCAATTAAAATCTAACAAAAACTAATGGGCGTCTTAGAACTTCACCTCAATCCTTACTGGTCACATCTAGTGGCCAGATATTTTCCAGTCACAGTTCCACACGGTGTTATTTTAAAACGTAAACAGTATCGCTTTAACTTTTTAATGAAGTTTATTTTACTCCCTCAATCTAAGGAGCTCCTAAGGGCTCTTACCTTGTACTTGTGCGACTGGTTAGTTTCTCTACTCCTCGCCCAAAGTCCAAATAACTACCCAAGAAGTTCAATCCCTGCAGTAACACAGTATCAGCACAAATCAGTCAGTGCCACAAGGGAAAGAATTCCTTTCTTCCCAGAAGCATTATCTGCATACGCACATTCCTGTACATTAGACAAAAGCCACACTAGCAAATCTGAAACAGCTGATGGCTAAAATTGGAATTACGCCACCTTTAAATTATGCAGCGTGCTCCACCACCTTAGCCTCGCCTGCATTCTGCTGTAGCCACTCCGATGCTTTGCCAACTGAATCAATGAATCCCCCACCACCCTTGAACCACTTTATCCTCATGGCCTGTCTGTAGAAGTCGATTGCTGCATTCTTCCCAGCGAGTAACTTCCCCATTCTCTACCAACACAAACTTCCACTCCACCACTGTGTCTGCCGGCAGGAAGACAGAAAGAGACCAAAGCCCATCCTTGCAATAATGGAGTGGGATGTATGTGTTCCAGCTCCCAAGACTCTCATGGTCTCCAGTTACTGCAATGAACTGCACCTTAGTGCTTGTGGTATAGTGCACTTGGAACTGGATGCGAACTTGCTGAGGCTCTGGAGACATTACTTTCCCACCTGCTTCCTGGCCTCTTGCTCCCACAAGAGTATTTCTGCCATAGTCCATTCCCTGACTTATGCTGAACCCAGAAACCTCAAGACTTCCACCCAAACCAACGTCTCCCCAAGATGAGTGCCTAGATACCACTTCCCAGTCCTCATGGCCAGCTGGGTCCTGACTGTCCATCTGTGCAAGACTGGCTTCTTTAGCTCTGTCCACAAGCAGGTTGCTGGAGGAAAACTTCTCGGCCATACTTGCAGCTGCTTTAGGGATTCTCCATTCTACATGAGAGTCAAGGCTTGTGTTTCTTGACACTTCAGAGTCAGCCCTGGAGCGTGTGTCTGGGATCTGTCCAGTGGGAACATTGCCCCAGTCTGCTCCAGGATTCTGCAGTCTCTGTGCTTCCTGCAGGGTACCAAGGCCTTTGGTCTCAGAAATCAAATGTCCATTGCTTTCTTGAAGATGCTCTAAGAAAAGGAAAGTGCAGTAGCATTAGATGGTTCACAAAACTGAGAAACGAGACTGCTGTTGAAGTCTTTATTGCTTTTTTAAAATTTTTTAGTTTTAATTTTTGTGTGTATGAGTATACTGCCTGCATGCATGTATGCATGTAAGTGCACCTGTGTTGTGCAGTACCTGTGGAGATCAGAAGAGGGCGTCAGATTCCCTTGGAATTGGAGTTACAGATGGTTATTACCACCATGTTGGTGCTAGCAATCAAAACCAGGTCTTCTGCAAGAGCAGCCAGTACTCAACCACTGCTGAGTCATCTCTCCAGCCCCTGAAGTCTTTATTTCAATCTGCAGTTTACCAAGTCCCTTTTAAAATCATGGCCTATTAGCACATTCCCAACCTTGCTCTAAGATCGTAGAGTACACACTCAGAGTATCTGTGTACCAAACCAGCACAAGAGTGAATGAAGTGGCAAGTTGTGAAGGCAGAACTGCAAGCCTGACCTCAGTCTCCCACAGTCAAGGTCAAAGTTACTTGGCTCCTATCATCAAAAATGGTGCCCAGGCGCTTAGCATGAGGCCCAGTACCACCCAGTACCACACACAGTGTCCTGCATGTGGAGCAAAGGGCTGCATGGCTACCCTATATGAGTACACCAGAGAGTACAGGGCAGCCATCAGCTCTGGCTAGCTGGAGGGCAGAGCAGTACAGCTGTCAGTGTAGGGAATACCAAGGGTAGCACTTGACTGGGCAAGAATCAAGAATTGGCAGTGAACTTGACAGAAGAGGCACCTCTTCAAAGAGACAAGGCTGTTCCCATCCCTCCTACTACACACTTTAAAAATTGTTTTTGCTTGTTGGGTTTTTATGGCGGGAGAGGGTTGAGACAGGGTCTCACTATGTAGCCCCAGCTGGTTTGTAACTCGATATGTAGACCAGGCTGCTCTTGAAGTCATGGAGATCCACCTGTCTCTGCCTTCCAAGTACTGGGATTAAAGGTATACACCACACACCTGGCTAAAAGTTATTTCTGAAAGTTTAGTCTGGGGCTGGAGAGATTGCTCAATGGTTAGGAACACTGGTTGTTCTTGAAGAAGACCCAAGTTCAAATCCCAGCACCCACAAGGCAGCTAACAACCACCCATAACTCCAATTCCAGGGATGCCCTCTTCTGATCTCTGTGGGCATTGCATGACACAGATGCGCTTACACACATGCAGGCAATACACAAATACACATAAAATAATGATTTAAAACATTTTAAAAGATTGAACTCTCCAAAATCATACAATCAACACAAGGGAGTCTTGGGTCATTTTCTCTCTTTTTAATGGTGAGCTTGGAAGTGAGATGTCATTAAATACTACTGAATTCCCAATTTTCAGCTTAAAACACAAGGCTAGCCTTCAGAAACAAGGTAAATGAACGAACTACTCAAAGCAGACAGACTGCAGGAAAGATTTTTCACGTGGCTCCAAATGAACACCACGCCACTAAAAATAAAGTTCAACAGATGTCATTTTGGCCATTTGGCTGCTGTCCAGGCAGGGGCAGCTTGCCAAAGGAGATAAGGGTTTGTGCCAGTGCTCACTCTGCCTGACACACACTCTAAAATGTAGATTTAAACCTGGGAGGCCTAATCTCCAGGAAGGGTACCCAACTCTGATGAGAATTGCCACCCAGGTTTAAATCTACTTTTCTAAGTGGGCATTTGGCCAATAGCTCTGAAGCGGGTGGCCAGTGCACAGCCCGGACAGCAGTGGCCTTCATGGTCCAAGTGTAAGCTGAACTTTGCTTTTCTATTAGAACCGTCCAGCTGGCAGGAGGTGCTCACGACTTGGTATTCCCAAACCCAGATCTAATGCAGGGTGTGCGTTGTCAGGGCTTGAAGTTACCGGACTGGGACTCAGATGGGACTGCTCCATCAGCGACTGAAAAAGAGTTGTAAGGTGGCTCCCAAACTTAAGCCCTCCAAAGCCCAGAAAAGGGGCGCCGCCAGGGCAGCCATGCGCACTGCACCAAGCCGTGCCAGGAGAAGCGATGGGGCGCCAGAGGGTTCAGTCCCGGGTAGGGGAAGCTCGTCCGCTGCGGACGGAGCGGTAGGAGAGCTCCAGGTGGCTTGCCTTCTTCCTACCCGGGAGAACTTCAAGACACCTGGCAGATCTGCCCCGGAAACCGGGGGAGGAAGAATACCTGGTTTGGTGGCCAGATCGCGCTTGGAAGGTCCAGGGCCCAGAACGCCGCCGCCACCACCCTGCTCGCTTCCAGGAACCGCAGCCTCCCCCGGAGGGGCGACCTTCTGCGGCTGGGCGTCCGGGTCTTTTCCCGGATCCCCTGGGTCACCTCGCAGCAGCCAAAGGAGAAGGGCTCCGGCCAGACCCCCTCCGACCAGTAGGGCGGACCAAACGGCGCCCATGGCTGCCAGGCTGCGGGAGACTACCCGGACCGGACTCGAGCTCCGCTCGCCCGGCGGGCCACACCCACCCCGCCCGCTCCAGCCTTTTACGGTTTGCGCGCGGGTGCTGCGGCCCCGCCCAGCCCTCCACAACCAGCGCGAACTTTCCCTGCCCCACCTCCCGGCCCGCCCCGACACGCCGACGCTCCGCTCCGCCCCCGCGGGTCCGGGTTCTCCCACTCGGGGTCCCGGCCCTCCCAAGCGGGGCTCCCTTTCCACTGGATCACACGCGGGAAGAACCCAGTGCGCACGGCGTTCAGCTCAGCCTTCCTCGCGCCACCTGCCCCTCTCCGGATTGACCACCGCAGCGTGATCCTTGGAGAGGCCTCTGGGCCTGGGGCTCACGCTGGACAGTGAGCACGAACTAGGGTGGGTGGGGACACTGGCGACCTCCGAACCTAGTGGAAGCTCCACACCCACCAGAGAGCTGCGCCTGGTTTGCTCAAACCTCTGCCTCCCGCCTGTCTTATAAACGCTGTACAAACACCCGCCACCACAACCAATTCCAAGGTCCTTCTTCCTCAAACTACCCCACTCCTTTTAAAAGACTCGTCCAGGCTAGTCTGAAACTCTTTATGAGCTCCAGGCTAACGGTCTCAAACGTGAGATCCTCCTGCCTCAGCCTCTCAAGGGCTAGGGTTGCAGGGATGCACGGCAATGCCCTCTCCCTCCGCTTATTTTTGCTGTGAGTAGTTGCTGCAATTTAATGCACACCCATCCGCACTGGAGGTTGTCCAGTGTTGGAGCGCCTATAAATAAACATCAGTAGCCAAGCAATTTTTTATTAAGTATCGTATATTCCAGATGTTTTATGTATGAACTTAATTTGATCCTCATACAACAATAGAAATCCCAAACTTCACTGCCCTGCTGTTGTGGTGCTAGGAAGCCCTGGCTTTTTATGTCTGAACTGGAGAGTCTTTCCCCTCAGCACACACTTCACACAAAGCTGCTTAGGCCACAGCTGGCAAGTATGTATGTGCCTTGGAGATACTGCTAACATGGCTCCCTCTGGAAGCACAAATCATTCTAGTGTGTCCCTCGCTAGTAGACAGCAGCTCTTGACATGGAGTTCCTGATTGGGCTGGCTCCTGCTGCAACTCCTGAGATAGACGATAGGGAGGGAGGGAGGGAGGGAGGGAAGTAACAGGAAGAGACAGGCAGATAGATAATAGATAGAAGCATGATTATAAGGGAAGAGGAGAAAGAAGAAGCCACCTAATGGGCATCTCCAAGCCAACTCACCTAGATGTGGACATTACTACAAACTAAACCAAACCACCAGCCCCTACAGGCTGTCTTCAAATCAGGGCTCATAGGAATTCTGGTAACATTGCAATTATATCAGGCCTTTGCTCAAGACCCTCCAATAGCTCTACATCTCACAGCAAAAAACCTTAAGACCCTTTAGCATCTGTCCTTCAGAACCTCCCAGGGCTCACCCTCCCTGGCCCTCTCTAGCCACAGTGGCTCCCTTACCTTACACAGGCCCCACATGAATTGGACACAAACTACAGGGCATGGTGTTTTTGTTTGGTTGGTTGGTTGGTTTTGTTTGAAGACCCTCCAATAGCTCTACATCTCACAGCAAAAAACCTTAAGACCCTTTAGCATCTGTCCTTCAGAACCTCCCAGGGCTCACCCTCCCTGGCCCTCTCTAGCCACAGTGGCTCCCTTACCTTACACAGGCCCCACATGAATTGGACACAAACTACAGGGCATGGTGTTTTTGTTTGTTTGTTTGGTTGGTTTTGTTTGTTTGTTTGTTTGAGATGGGGCTTCCCTGCAGATCCAGCTAGCCTGGAACTCACTATGTAGACCAGACTAGCCTCGATCTTGCAGAGATCCACCTGCCACTGCCTCCGGAGTGCTGGGATTTTGCTTGTTGCTTCTTGTTGTTAAATAGACTTGTTTTTGACTAATTAGGAATTCAGTGATGGACTTGGGAAACAACGTCTATCTGAACCGTAGCATGTACCCTTTGTGATAAACCTGCCAGCAAACACCCAGTGTTTCTCTGAGTTCTGTGAGCTAGCCTAGTAAATCATTAAACCCAAGGGAAGGCTCACAAGATCTCCCGATTCATAGCCAGTCAATCAGAAGCAGAAGTTGACTGGACTTGGGATTGGCCTCAGAAGTGGGGGGCAGTCTTGAATTAAGCCCTTTAACCTATAGGGTCTGACATCAACTCCAGATAGAGTCAGAAATGGATTAAATTGTAAGATACCAAGTCGATGCCCATGGAGAGTTGGAGAATTGTTTGGTATGGAAAACCTCTCCTTTCCCACCAATTCAACTAACCAGGACTGCAGATTTGAGAGTAGGAGAGACTAAACAGGGTCTTTCTACTGTCTTCTTTGTCAAGCCCAGCATCTGCACCCCATTCAGACTTCCCTTATCTCTGTCCAATGTCCAAGTCATCTGGGCACCTCTGTCTGCTCAGGCTCTGATCCGATATGCAAGCAGTCCCAATTGAACCCTCCTCCAAATATTTCCTTAAGGCCACTTCCTTCTGAGTTGTTTTCCCCAGCTCAAGATCCCAGTCTGCACCTCCCATTCTTTGAACTGATATGTCATTCTTTTATTTGAATTCTAAATATGCTAACTTTCCTAGAGCAAAGTATGAGGTTTTCTCCTATAGTATAATTATTTTTGTAACTTTTCACATCACCCTTTAGCTCATAAATCCCTTGAGGTCCAAGTCTGTCATCCAAAACACCTTTTTATTGTTGTTTTTTATTGACTGCCTAATTGATGTAATTGATGCTGGCACCTAGGTGAGTGCGTCATCAAGATTGCCTCAAGCAACACCCTCAGATGAGTGATCTTCTCAAGGTCATTCGGGGGTTGACAGACCAGGCTGGGGTTTGAACCCAGCATTCTTGCTCCCGAACCCAGGCTCTGAACCTCTAGTATACTGACTCCTGGTGGATGGCAGTTAAACTGTATCTGAATTTCAAGACATACATTTAGAAGTGAGTGTGTGAATTTGGATGTGTGACACCAGAGAACCCTTCTGGGGGTACTCCAACACGATGCTGAATTGCAGACATGCCCTTCATTTGTAATTCCTCTCCACAAGCCCTGGCTCCTCAGAGATGTACTATTGCCACCAACACCTGTCCATTGCTGTCAAGCCTCTGTGTCTGGGTATCCACATGACATTCACCACAGGCAAATCCTCTCTGCAGAGCAGTCACGTTGGAGCCACTCAGCCTCGGGTTTCATAGAGACATTTTCTAACTGCAACTGTTTGCAAACCTCTGACTCATCTTGGCACCCGAATAGACTCCAGGCTGAGCTGCTCAGCGAATGATGAAACCTTTAGAAAGGGAGAATCGGTGTTGGAAAAACTAGCTCACTATACAGAGAAAAATCAAACTGGATTATTACTTTATGCTCCTCAAAGTAGTGGACTTTCAGTAGAATAAAATCCTAAATGTAAATGGCAGAAGTACAAAGCTAATGAAACAAAACCCAAGAAGCTCTCACTGTGACAGTAGCTAACATCCAGGCAAGAAAGACATTCAGACATCATCAGAAAAAAAGACTATTGATATGATCACATTCAGTGGAGGATGTCATAGACAAAGCTACCAGATAGTCCCAGACCAGGAGAGATATCTGTGTTGTCTAGAAGACAAGGGATTAATATCTAGATAGCCATTAACAAGAAAAAAACATGAGGGAAGCTCTTTCCTTCCTGCCTGAGACAAGGCTGGGATCACAACAAGTGTCCACAGACTAAAGAAAATTGATAAAAACAGAGATGTTGAAACTCTCTGGTAAACAGAAAAGGGAAGATTCAAGCAATGATTCCATATGTAGCCCAAACGCAAATATCAGCAAGAAGATGTGACGCTGGTGCTTGGGAAGGTCAATGGGTACAGTCAGAAGACCTGCGTGAAATTATGTAGTTTGTGTACCCCACCACCAGCCCTTATCAGTGCATGGGGCCATGTCCACTTGGCTGCACATGGAGGGGAAATGACTCAGTGAAATGTGGTGGAGGTCCAGGAAATACTGTGACTGTCCTATAGGGTGTCCTGGGTCCTGCACAGGAGGGGCTTCACAAATCCTTGTTAAAAGAATGAATATCAGGAGCAGTGAAACACTAGTCGTGATGGCCAAACGGTGCTTGGGAAGGTCAATGGGTACAGTCAGAAGACCTGCGTGAAATTATGTGGTTTGTGTACCCCACCACCAGCCCTTATCAGTGCATGGGGCCATGCCCACTTGGCTGCACATGGAGGGGAAATGACTCAGTGAAAGGTGGTGGAGGTCCAGGAAATACTGTGAGTGTCCTATAGCGTGTCCTGGGTCCTGCACAGGAGGGGATTCACAAATCCTTGTTAAAAGAATGAATATCAGGAGCAGTGAAACACTGGAGTGATGGCCAAAATTGAAGCAGTTGAATGGCCAGAGGGTTAGGGTTTCTTATTGGTGTTTGGTTAATTCTTATTGTTTTGTTTTTTGTTTTACACTATTGAGACTTGAACCCAAGGCCTTATGTGTGCTAGGTAAGTGCTCTAACACTGAGCTACATTACCAGCTTGCCTGCCTGCCTGCCTCCCTCCCTCCCTTACTCCCTTCCCTCCTCCCCCACTCCCTTCCTTCCTTCCCTCTTTCCTTTCCTCTCTCTCCCTCCTTTGAATTGAATGAGAGAGAATGAGGCAGATTAGACAAGGACAGACCCAACCAAACCATGATAAATACAGTTTGGGGTGTCTTTTACCTGCTTCTTGTATTATTCGTTAACTATTCCTGATGCCACCACCCAACCACAGCACTGCAAATCTTGTCATCTGTACTTTAGTTTGAATGTGAAATGTGGCCAGTGGGCTCATGCTAGCACGCCTTCCCTTCCGGCTGCCATGGCTTCCCCACCATGAGGGACTGTATCCTTCTGGAACCATAAGCCAAAATAAGCCCTGTCTCCCTTAAGGTGCTTTGTCAGAGTGTTTTTATCACAGCAATGAGAAGGTAACTAAGACAATCTGTTAAACTTTGTCAAAAAGAAAGTGGAAACCGATGTGTACCAA